CCCTACAGTATTTCAGAAGTGCATCTGTGATGACACTGTATTGATTCAGCACTTAGACTGTTGTGGGACAACAAGTTTTCAATACACAGAATCATAGAATCATAGAATCATAGAATTATTGAATCATAGAATGGTTTGGGTTGGAAGGGACCTTAAAGATTATCTAGTTCCAACCCCCCTGCCATGGGCAGGGACGAACACCTTCCACTAGATCAGGTTGCTCAAAGCCTCATCCAACCTGGCCTTGGGATGGGGCAGCCACAACTTCTCTGGGCAACCTGTTCCAGTGCTTCATCACCCTCATTGTAAAAACTTTCTTCCTTAGATCTAATCTAAATCTACCCGCTTTCAGTTTAAAGCTGTTACTCCTTGTCCTGTCCTTGTGGAGCTGTGATACAGTCTCAGGAACTTCCTGGAAAAATTTAAGACTCGAAACAGAAGGTATCTTTCGGGTTTTAAATGATAGATGTTGTGCCTTGTGAACATGCCCATCAGCCTGACCTCTCCTTGACCTTGGCAAAGACAGAAAAAAGCTTTTATTTGCTGCCAAAGTGTCAAATTCAGCCCAGACAAATGAATACAAAGCAGAACTAAAGACAAGTTTCACTCATTACGTTTACTCGAACTGATAATTTCACTTGCATTCTTGTTTTAAAGTGTTTCTGGAACTCAAACTAGAACTGAACAAAAGTCTTTTTTGGTTACTAGTTCAGAATAACAGCTTGACTAGAACCGGCTGACACTGAGGCAGACTTCAACTAGTCTGCACAGCAGCATCACTTTCCCCCATACCTATCACTGTTGCCCCATGACCTGCCCACTTGTTCAGCAGAACAGTCTCACTTCTGTGTTTTGCCACCATAACATCTTGATCTATGCTACGGGCCTCTGTAGGAGTCTACCCAGCCCACACAGTTTAGCATCCACTTAAACAGAGCTCGAATAGACCGTCCTCTGTCAAACAGGCTGAGGAAGTTGGAGTTGTTCAGCCTGGAGAAGAGAAGGCTCCAGGGAGATATTATAGCAGTCTTCTAGTACCTAAACGGCGCCTACAGGAAAGCTGGAGAGGGACTTTTTACAAGGATGCATAGTGAAAGGACAAGGGGTAACAGCTTTAAACTGAAAGAGGGCAGATTTAGATTAGATATAAGGAATAAATTCTTCACTCCGAGGGTGGTGAGGCACTGGAACAGGTTGCCCAGAGAAGCTGTGGCTGCCTCATCCCTGTAGGTGTTCAAGGCCAGGTTGGATGAGGCTTTGGGCAACCTGGTGTAGTGGAGGGGGTCCCTGCCCATGTCAGAGGGGTTGGAACTCGGTGATCTTTGAGGTGCCTTCCAACCCAAAACATTCTATCATTCTGTGGTTCTATGAAACGGGCCCTAGCCAGCTGTGGCTTTGATTCCTGGTCTCTTCTGGGAAAAGCAATGTGCAATCATTGCCAGCAGTGCCCACTAGGTGCCCACTGGGTGTAACTTTCCATCAGCAGAAGCTTTCTCTGAGCAGATCCTGTATATACCCTGTGTGGATACGTCTTTGTGAATCCGAGTGCATGGATTTAACCTATCTCTGCTATAACATTGGCATAAATTGCTGGTACAGCGTAGCTCGCTCTGGGCTGCTCCCTGACTCCAAATCAAGTAAGCTGTAAAGCTATGGAAGAACAGAACTGGTGCCTGGGTTTTGGCCAGGGAAGCAGGAGACTGAGAGTAAAACCTCTCTCCCAGAAAACCTCTGCAGTGTGAACCAAGGCCCAGCAGTGATGCCGCTTCTACTCTTTTTTTTTTTTTTTCTGACTTCTACAGACTGTTCTGAATTAGCAACTGATATTAAATGACTCCTTTTTGCTCTGAACTGGTATGCTTCAGCTGAAGCTAAAACTCAGGAAAAACTCAATGTAAAAGTGTACTAGACACAGTGCATTGGTGGGAGGTCTCCTGTAGAGCCTGGTCTCCAGTAGAGAGTCGATTGGTTCTGCCAGAAGCGTCTAGTGTTCCCTTGTGCGTGCTTACCTGAACCTGCCAACCCAACACGTTTTGGCTAGGTCTGTACTAGTAAATAAAATAGGGCAGAGATATCAATGGCTGGCACCCATGTTCGTGTAAGTGCTCCTACCCTCTAAGGAAAGTGGCCACATCATATCGGGTGCTTACGGAGTATCGTTCCGAGACCTGTGCTAAACCCCGAGCTGTACCTATGCAGTTTGTAAGAGAGAGTTAGTCAGTGCTACCAACCTGGTAGCACAGGTGATCTCGAACGAGGGCTTAAATCCATGTCCCAGTCCTGTGTAGTTTAGAGCCAGCTGTGGTCTCTGGGTTGCTACTTGCCGCTGCGGCTCTAGGATTTTTCTTGCTGTTACTGTGGTAATGCAACCGCACTTCAGTGATATGCTTGGAATTAATGACATACACTAGGGTCGTAGGGGTTTTTTTTGGAAGAATAGGACTAAAAATTTGACAAATTTAAAAAAATCACATTTGTTCTTTTTCTCTTTGAACAGGGGCATGCAGAGGGACAAAGCACTCTACCTTACCTGAAAATCTGAAACACCTCTCCTTTCCACTGAGGAATGCAGGGAAGTCTTTTCATCATGGATTGCTTTATGCAGTCAAGGCAGTTCTGCATTTTATTAGGAAATACAAGTTGCTAAGCACTTAGGACTATTTGAGCTTGTGGGTCACCCACCCTGGGAAAAAATAGTCTTGCTTCTTTCTTTTTCTTTTATTTTTCCCCCTCATTTTTTCTCTTTCTTTCTCCTTTCCACCCTCACCCTGAAATCCTTTAACGGACATTGCTTTTCTTCTTCCCTGAAGGAAACTTGGACCATTCAGATTTTATGTTGGTTTTTGCTGTGAAGTGCTGCGATAGTAACTGCCTTAGCAACTGTAGATGTCTCGGATAAAAGTCCTGGATTTTCCATTGGTTTTTCATAATGGGTGTTTATATGAAACTACTAAAGACTTTTTAAATGGCTTGATGTAGCAGTCATAGCAAGTTTGTAAATAGCATCTATGTTACACTCTCCTAGAGTATAAAATGTGAATGTTTTTGTAGCTAATTGTAATTGAAACTGGCTCATTCCAGTTTATTGATTTCACAATAAGGGTTAAATTGGCAAACATTCATATTTTTACTTCATTTTTAAACAACTGACTAATAGTTCTATATTTTCAAAGTATTTGGAGAAAAAAAGTGAAATATTCCCAAATTATATTAATTAAAAATATTGGCTTTGTCTCATGAAATAAAAACAAAAAAATAGGAAAAAACCCTAATGTTGATAAAGAGCAAACACATTTATTTTGTACTGCCTAAAAAATACTTCCTTTTTTTTAAAGAAAATCACTTTATGTGTACTGGTTAGTAAACGCCCTTTAAGCCCTTTTATGTATAAAACTGCCAAATGCTTACCTGATATTTTATTAGATGCAGAAACAGATTGGAGACAGGTAAATTATAACCTTTACATATGGCTATGTATTATTGTTTCTTCATACTGTGTCTGTATTTAATCTTTTTTATGGAACCTGTTGCGCCTATTTATGAAATAATAAATATAGGTGTTTGTAAGTAAATTTGTTAGCATTTTAAAGAGGTTTCTTTGACGCTTTAACTTTTGCTGGCACAAATTGTTCACAACTGATGTGAATACTTTATTTAGTTTTTACAGTGACATATATAACACCAAACCTGCTTTACTGGCAGAAAATTAAGGTAACCTATACTTATTTCTGTATTTTGATGGTTGTTAAGGAAAAAAAGTATTTTAAGTAATTCCCTTTTTAAAGTATTGTAGCAAGATGTTGCCCAAAACTAAGACTTGAACCAACAAAACTAACTGAATAAAACTGCATAATGCTGCTTCTTGAAACTTCATCAATTTTGGTTAATTAGTTGAGTGGAATAAAAATATTACCAACAGAAATATTACCAAATATGCCTCAGCCATTTTATTATACATGCAAAAGGTCCTACAGAGTTTTAGGTAGTGTATGACAAGTACATCCTAAAGTAAAAGGTAAGTAAGTTCAACAGCCACAGAGAAAGGGATAAAAAAATCCAAAAGAAGGTATTTTGTCAATGTTTTGGATCAAGGATAGCTCTGAAAATAAATTTCTGGAGGATTTCATCCTGGATGCCTGTCCAATTAATGGAGAGTACCACTGATTTGTATTTTCTGTGTGAAATAAAGTAAGCAACTCAGATAAAATGCACATTATGCAATGCTGTTGATTTAAAAAACAAACAAACAAACAAACAAGAAACAAAGGTATACTTCTTTGGAATGATTTCAGGCAATGTACAATCGGAATCACTTGGTATGTAATAACTAATAAATAATGCAGATCAGATGTGATTACTCAAATGACTGTAGCTGAGCGCTCTAATTTTCCTGTCTTTAAACTGTATGAGAACTCGTGATTAAATTCACAGTTTATTGTTTGTCTGTTTAGTACTTTAAAAATATACCAGCACTACTAATTGCCCAATGTCTTCTATTTATTATATTAAACTACATTTTCCACTCATATTAATTCTAAAGCAAGAAGATAATTACTAGGGATGAGAAAAATCAGCTTTGATTTTGACAGGCAGTTTTCCTTTTTCTTTTACAGAAAAGAACTGTTATCTCAATTTCTTTTAGAGCAGGTGCGCAGTCACATAAAGTTGTTAATTTCAGTATCCAAGCAGAGTTCAAAATACAATAAAACTTTAATGTAAATAAAAAAATACATCATGAATAAAATACTTATTCTGTATGAACCTCTGGCTACTTGGTGTCTCTTAGTCTGTAAGAAGGGAAACCTGTGGTGTCAGGCAGCACGTTTCCCATCTGGTGGTTTGAGTGTGGTTTTGTGCCTGGGCACTGTTTGGATGGGACAGCTATGCTGGAAGAGCAGCAGTTTTGACCAAGGTTATGTTGAATCCACTTCCTTCCAAAGGAAAGATCCAGCTTCGATGCAGAAATGTCAGTTCTTCATGTCTGACCTTGGGAAAATGCAATGGTTGCCAGCCAAGGGCGATCTGCTGTTTGTTTTCAGCTGCATACTGACAGATACAAATCGTCAGAAGATGGAGCCTAGAAGGTTGAGATCCTTTTTTAAGCAGGTGAAACTCCACTGGAGTTCATGAAGATATGCCCCATCCTTTGCTGAAGTACTGTGGCTTAGGCACCACAGCAACACATCTACCCAAGTCACTGTTTGCAAGTCACCATCTGTTATAACGATGATAATGAGAAAGCACACAGGAATGAAGCAACCTACACATTGAAGTGACATAGTAACAGTAAATAAATATGATAAAGACATCTGTCAAAGCGATAGAAATCAAGGGAAATAATGTCTTCCATTAATTGAAATTAAGGGAGTTTTTGCATTATTTTTAAAAAGTGGTAGGCAAAATGCAAGATTAGCAACATAGGCACTCGGGAAGATGTAAATCCCCTTTGCTTGCACCAAGGTAAGCAGAGGTTTTGAAAAGGAAAGGGGGTCTTTGAATTTACTGCTGCTCTCTGAGTGCCTCATTCCGGCAACGCAAGTCCTGATCTCTCCATCACCAGACTCACAGAGGTTTGAGCAGAAATCCCATCCAGCTTGCTGCCTCTGACCCGAAGAAGCTCTTTGAAGGAACCTGCTATAGGATTTTTTCCCCCACATTTATCCACAGGCATTAAGTTATGTATTCATGGACAGCCCCAGCCATTTACAATGAAACCTAATGCATTCGTGTCCACTTCTCTCTCTCTCTCAGCAAATACCATTTCCCAATTCCTGTGGTGCCTCTGCCAAATATTCCCTGCGAGGCTCGTCTGTAAACAGGAAACCCAACAATAAAAGAGCTCATTACTGGAAGGTAAAACACACTTTTACCACCTTCCTCAACCTTCTGAGACTTCATCTCAACCTGAACTACCATCTCCAAGGCTGTATCTGACTATATCTTACCTGATCCTGTAAACATGGCAGATCCATGGAGATCTCTTGCGGCATTCTGGGGAAACAGAGTAGGTAAAAATCCTTATTTTGCACACACTGTGAGAAGTAGCTAGAAAGCTGTATGGAACATATACAGGAGTTATTCCTCAGAACTCCCATTGATAGATATAGATACAGATATAGGTATAGATACAGAGATAGATAGATAGATAGATAGATAGATAGATACATACATACATACATACATACATACATACATACATACATACATACATACATAGAGAGATATGTATCCATTTCCCTGTTAATTATTTATCTGGTGTCTTTAAGTCCTTATGCATTTAAATAAAATATTATTAGTGAGTATAGCAGTGTTCTGGCAGTGCTGCAGGAGATGCTGAGCGCCTCAGAGAACACCAGGTGCTTTGTGTCAGGTCTCACAGACAGCATTTGCTTTCCTTTGCAGAGTCATGTATTTTATTATTACCCAGCAGCACATTAAATCACAACTCAAATGTAGTTCTTATTCCACCAACAAGAGGACAAGTGAGAACAATGACTTGTAACATTTCAGAGTCTGTCACAGTTACTGCCTAATTAGAGAAACCCACTAGCAAATGTGCATCTGCATGGATCCTGTGACTGTCATCATTTCACATTCTATTAAGGGCTTGCTGCGATAGACACTTTACAAAGAAATTTCGTTCAGGCTAATACCAAGCTGGCAAACATGTAATTGGCTAGAAAATAAAACAGGAGAGAGAGAAGAAAAAGAAAAAAAAAAAAAGAAGAAGAAGAGGAAAGGGAAAAGGAAAGGAAACCTTCCTGTTTGGAAAACAAGCTGTGAGCAAAAATTCACAGTACACTGCAGAGAAGATCCTTACCCTCTGACAATTGTGTGTTTACAACGAGTCTGAGCATAATTGCTCTGATGGGCTGTCAAGGAAAAGATTAATTTGGCAAAGATTAGTATTGACTTGCTGTTTATTAAGGCTTTTAAACAGCTGTATCTGGCAACATTCCTGTAAGTGCCTGTCATGTCTGAAAATCAGGCTCACACCCGGGTGCTTGCCAGCTGTTGCTAAACAATCTTACCACTTTGAGTATCTTTCTCCAGGCCAAACAGCAAGAGTAAAGTATTGCCAAATGAGTCTCTCTCGTCCTGTCACTTTTCGGGGGTTCTGAGAGCTCAGATGTCAGTTGACGGCTCGATGGCTGAGCTGATAGCAGCTACCGGCAGCTGCCGGGGTGGTTAGAGAGGTGCTACACCGACCTGGCGCCCGCGCCGAGGCGGGAGTGCTGCTGTTAGTCACCTCACCGACACGGAAAACCACAGCTTGCAACTGCTGGAACGCAAAGGGGCTTTAAACCCCTTAGCACTCGGGATCAAAGTTTGGGAGGAGGCAGAATTCCAGAGCGAGTGGTTCATCCCCCCGGGCTCTGATGGGTAAAGCCAACAGGGTAGGAGGGTGTGTGAAAGTACAGTAGACGCCATTAATCTTTATAAAATGAGCCAACATTGTCTCCTATGATTGTTTTTTTTTCCCCAGACCGCTGATAAACAAAAGTCATAAAAGCCACACACACAAAATACCCTGGGTCTATGGAAACCTGTAAAACGAAAGATGTCAGCTGTTATTTTTGTTACATTACTTAAAACATTTCAGCTTGCATTGTAGGCTTTAGCAGTGAGCTCAGAAACAAATAATACCAGTGGAAAGAAGGATAAACGGCTGCAGCTAAACGCCAATACAAATAGCCATGTGTTACAATTAAAGTTGATTTGGCCTTTCCAATAGAAGTCTGATTTTCTGGGATTAATCTCGACCTTTTCAAGTTGCATCAGGCTGAAATAAGTTGTCAGAACAGATGTGAATTTTGTTTGCAGAGAACAATTGTAATCCAGCAACCCTTAGAACATCAGTGGTTTCCAGACCGCCGGCCAGTTGAACCACAAGGATGCGGACGGCAGTTACTGAGCACACGCAGCAGGCAGAACCAGAGGACTCACAGCCATGTCCAGAGGCTGGAAGTTTAGGTCAGAAAATTTCAAACTGGGAACGAGGTACTTTTCCTTTTAACTCTGAATTCACCAAGCAGCATGGTGGAGGCATAACCACTTGAAAAAAGATGTTAGATCAAGAATGGATACCTTTGTAAAACATGTGTTTCTTTAGCTAAATCTAATATTTAAGAAGGTGATATTCCATGCACCATTGTTTCACAGAAGGCGCAGCCCACATTTTGTAATACGGAAGCCTCTGAAGACTCCAAGAATCACACATTTCAGATGCTGCTCTAAACTAGCTTTCTAAGAAGTTTTACCTTACAATCTGCACAGCTCCAGTATTTAAAAAAAAAGAAAAATAAAAAAAGAAAGAAAAATAAAACCTCTAGTGATTATTCAGGCGTCTCATACTTTGATACATAGAGTTAAAAACTTCTGAGCTCTAACCACAGCATATATATGCTGACGTTGATGCTCCCAAAGAGCCAAGTTTCAGTGGAAGTAAAAAAGCCCAAAGCCTCTGCAATTCAGGTTGGGGGTGGAGGACAGAGGGCCTATTCACCTTACCGTGCTGGCATAGCAACTCTGGCAATGTAAGCCCTCTGTAGACAACAAAGCCTGCAGGTTACTTTTGTAATACTGGCTTTCTTCACAATTAAACACTTGGATCCATGTTTATGTCATCGATGCTGTCGTATTGTTAAATACTGAAGACGCAAGAGAGATTTTTTCCTGCTGTCTATATAGCACAGCTTAGATAGCAACATGAAGTTCCCAAGTTCATTCAAAAGCATGTCATCACTTGAATAAATAAGGCTATCTGATGCCCTAATTAGTAGAGTAAGCCTTCATGTTTTGATATCTACTTCTGCTCAGAGTTCTGAAATAATGAGCTGAGCTTCTCCACTCCTCTGGCATACAAGCATGTGTTACATGGTTTTGTTAAAGAGATGAATATGAAAGAAGGTAAGTGATGTACCCAGAGAC